TTAGTACTAAATAAACTTGACCCATTATGACACATAAACAGTACATGCTTATTTAACACTTTACAGAGAGAACGTGTAACAACATACATATACTGTAACTTTGATATTTTAAAGTACCTATTCAGACAAGGCCCAAAACAAAGAACACTTTACATAGAAAACAAACAAAGTAAAGGGACAGGTAAAAGAGGCAAGTATGAAACTATGACCCACATATCGATTGGACCTTTGTCCAAAAGCCTCACACGTGAAAAAAAAAATATATATATATATACACACACACACACACTAAATTCTAACAAAAGTCTATTTGATTATCAACTTTAGAACTCTTATCACCTTTAATTTCATTATTCATATGACATGCTACTTCTCTTGCACACACATTATTATTACATGACTTTGGCCTACATCCAAGCCAATCAGTTAAAATTCCTGTCTGTTTACTTTTCACTAAGCACTGTTGCACTATTCTCTCTGTGCTCCTGAGAAAGACAGGCCCACCTGTCAAAAGTACTATATCCTTACTTTTTTTTTCATCCTGGCCATTTACTTATTCATACAGAACTGTGTAATCATTTTTATTACACATATCATAATCACAGACATAGCCAAGGGGATGAGAGGCTATAATGATTTAATATCCTCCCAAAATTTCATAGAAATAATTTCTTTTAGATTTGTTCTCTTAAACACTTTTCTTGGATTTGGAAGACACCTTAGTAAAGGTATGAATAAATTATCATTGATAACCTGATCATATCACTTGCCTGAATTTACAACACATATCATTAAATCATTTTCTCATCATCCCTGCCTCACACAAAAAATTATCCTAGCTAGCATACATTAGAGCAGCAAAGTAACTCTTATTATTTACAGTAATTGACATATATTTGGCAGCTAAGCAATAATACTAATTATTTATATATTTGTTTAAAACTATGTACATATAATGCTATTTTTCTGGACATATTATATCCCTTCTTATCCTTATAATATACATAAATATTTATCATAATTACTCAATGGATTTTGCCTTAAAAATTTTTAAGTACAAAATTAAAATATGCTTTGTTTCTTTCTAGAGTCAATCAAGTGCGCCGTCCTAACAATAAGAAGAACTGTTTTGAAAATCCAGATGACTTTGAATTTGACAAGTTAGCAAAGGCTGTGAAAGTATATTAATATTGTTTTTACATTCAGATTTTAAAAGTGTAGGGAAAATATATATTTGTTTTTATTGAGTTTAACTTAGTATTTTGTAAACAGTTTCTTTTAAATTATTTCACTTTGTTATTTTTGAATAAGCTTACACTTTTAGCTGTTATTTTCCCATTGTGGTTTAACCTTCCTATATATTTATGGTGTTAAAAACCAAAACTATAATTGTTTTATTTGGTAAAATACAAGTGTTCAAGTCAGATACAAATCTCATTACAATAAAAATGATATACAATTTTTCTTTCAGTTTTAAAAATACATAATTTGTCATACAAATATCCAAATGGATATTGATCAAAATGTTTTTGTGGCAGTATTCCAACAATTTAAATTTGTATGTATTTGATTATCAAGTTTGACTTTATGTGCAGGATGTCAAGAGCTAGTTTAACACATGCTACTTGTTACATGTATAATTTCATGAAATAACATGCTCAGCCTCAGAGTTAGTAAATATATTTACCACATGTATATATTATATAAATTACATGAGTCAGTAAAGAAAATAGTTGTTTTATCAGCCCTTCAAACATTCTTTGCTGACATGTAGGTGAAATTATTGTTCATTGCATGGTACATTAGAAATAAGCAACTTCCTTAAACATACAAGTAAATTTTACATGTAGATATATATGTGTAAAAATATTTTTGATGCTGATTTTACATAAACAATCTTAAACATACAATAATTAACTCTGAAGTAAATTATATGTATTAAAAATCCTACTATTTTAACGTTTGAAATCAATTACTTGCTATTGGTGTTTCAAATTTAAATGATAATCTTACTTAAACATGGTGGTGTATAATTTCACAAGTTCTAAAGTGAGCATTGAATGTTATGTGTATGTATTTCAAGTTGTTGATTAAACAAAATACATATATTTAATATGTAAGTTTGATTAAAATGTTATTTATAATGCATTTACTTTCAGTTCTTTAATAATGGTATACAATTTCATATAAGAACCCATGGAGAGTTCTGATGATTGCAAGTAGTCCTGGACAAAAAAATCACAGTTAAGTATAAGAATTTTAAAATTAACTTTAATCTGATCCTTCTGGGAATTCCCATTTTTAGATTGTCAAAATTTCTATTAACCAGGAAGTAAAATTCACCAAGAAACCACATGATTATAAAACATCAAGTACAATCTTCTAACATACAAATTCTTGTTTGTAACTAAACATTGATCCAGCAAGTTATGAAAATCTTTAGCTTGGTACTTAAATTAACTGCCTATTTACCAGGGTTCTCCCTGAGACCAAACCAGAACATGACTCATCTAGTTTAATGTATATCCTTATAAGAAATTTTTCCTTCTCTGATAGTTACCAATGCCACTACAGATTGTTAGAATACTAATTTGAAAAATTAACTTTTAAATAGTGAATTTGCTAAACTCAGAACTTTTAGTCTTGCTAGAAATTAAAATTTTAGTAAGATGCATAACACACACACACACAGTTCTCTCTCTTGAACATCTTTCAACAATTTTAAATATTATGTTTGTGAATTAACAGTACAAAGAACACAAATATGAACATAAAAAAAGATAAAATTTTGTTAATTATAAGTTTAAATGTAATACATTTCACACTGTATGAATATGAAGCACCCGGGCGATTTCCTTACTCAGTTCTAATTCTACCAGTAATAAATATTTCACTAATTCAAAAATTACCTGAAGATAAACAAGATATCTAGCCCTAACTTCATAATGGTGTAGTTTGACTCAAAAATATTATTACAAATATAGTTTTTCTTATTTGTAAATAAAAGCACAAGTGGCATAAGTCTACAATATGATGTGACTTTCAATTATATATAGTTATTCAAAATGAAAGTAATGAAAACAATCAATCAAGCATTAATAACAATTTTCTATAATCTGTGTAGTACAAATTTAACAAATTCAAACATAACTTCATGGGATCTTAATTCTTTGTTTTCTTATACATTCTGTGCTCTGAAATTAATAACCAACAATGACAGCAAAAATATGAAAAAAAGTATTCTTGCACTTCTCACCTAAATTCTGCTCAACTTTCATTATGAGGTAATACCAACTTAGCTTCTCCTCTCAATACCACCTAAACCATTGAAAAGGCAAATTTACTGTATATATACACATACACACGTATATATCAATCAAGTCTTGGCCAAGATATGTATACATTTGTTGAAACAACATACTAAACATAGATGTAAATTGAGAAATTTATTAAATCACTATTCATTAAAAGTTTTATTTTCTGCAATTATTGGTGCTTGAAGAAATTTTAGTGAGTTGTCCTGAATAATGATTTCTGAATAGGTTTATTTTTCACATTTTATTCTTTTAAGATTACTTTCTAACACATGAGCAGTAACAAAAGTTTCTATCTGTTTTGTTGAGCAAGATTTGTAAACCTATTCCTGAAAATGACCATTCACTTCCTATTAAATAAAAAATTAAAAAGTAAAAATTGTTGAAAAGTCATTTAATATTAGTTTACAACTTACACAAATATTTATCTGCATCTGAGAAACTATTACTTTCAACAGTGAATACAAATTTTAAAAACATGATGGACAGCAAATGTAATTTTAACTTTATTTCAAACATAAGTACATTTAGGTAAAAAAAAAAGATTTTCAGACTAATAATTCAGATGTGTGTGAGTGTATATATAATGAGGTTTATTTGAACCACAAGCTTTCAATTAAGAGCTTTTTGCCAGGTTGAATATATAACTCAACTGATGAAAGGCAAAAAAAGTAAAATATATATATATATATATATATACACACACACACTCTTATACCTACACTAGCATATAGCCCGTCAAATTATGTGGCAAGTACTACCACGCCCACCTCATAGTGTACCCTAACCTCACATTTCATAGCTAACTGAAATAAATAAATTTTGCAAAATCAAGCCTAACCAACATTGGTAAATTCTTTTATCAGCCAATCAAAATTAAGATTGTTCATGAAATGAATTCATGGTTTATTCATAGAATAATTATTGGTAAAAATCAGTTAGATTAACAACTTCTAGTATATAGAAAAGCCAGTGCATTTTGGTAACACTATGTTCCAACAATGGATTTTGTCATGTCGCTTAGCAACAAAAGTATAACTTAATATTATTGTTAGTCTATGTACTGAAAGTATGAAATGAAATGTATAGACAAGCAAAACTGGAAAAATATTTGTTGATTTCTTAATTTAGAGTCCCTATTGATTAAAGAGGTTTGTTTTTTAATAAAAATGTGGTGATATAATAGAAAATAAATAATTCAGTAATGATTTAAGTTTAAAATTGAATTGATATTTTTACTTTCATGATACTTTTAATAAATTAGTTCTAGTCTAGGTGATCCCACACTACATCTTTATTTTAGGCTTATTATACCAACACTCACTACACTTATAAGGTTTCATGGCACCCTTGTCACTAAAATTGTAATGGGCAGATATTAATCGAACTATTCTATCTGGATAGATGCATTTGGCTTTTACGACTCCTTCTATTTCGAGATATCAAGAGAAATCAAGCGTGACGTGACACACACTGGCTTTTATATAGGTTAGATAATGTATTAGTTTGAAAATGCCTTTATTTTTTACATGGTGACTAACAGTTGTTAGCTATATACCACTGCTGTAAAAATGAAAATTATATTTGAATCTTTGACACCCAAAAACAAGATTCGAAGTTTTGCACTCTCTTCCAGAAAATGTGTGCAAGTCAATGAAACATTAAGAATCCTTGGCAGCTAAGCTCACTATATGTTGTTTGCATAAAACTAGTACAAATAAGCCATTTTTCAGCTATATGTTTACAATTAAAGCACTACTGATGACAGAGCAAAGAAACTTTCAGAGAGTGTGATAAATCTAATCATCTCTGATCACTCAAAGTTTGATAATACAACAATATATCAACTGAAGGAAGAACTTCAGAGAAGAAATGCATACTTATGTGGTCAGAAAGCAGAGCTTCTTGAAAGGTATTATTAATAAAAATTTCTGATCATAAGTAAAAAAAACAACAAAAGTATATATTATTTGCCCAATACCAGGGTTCTTTGGGTTGGCTGGGATATTACAGATATAGTAGTGGTTGAGAAGCTATTTATATTAGCAAACTGTTCACATTAATTTTACACAAGTCACAACACATCAGAATTAGGGTAAGGCTTTTCTTTAAGTTGCTCATTATTCAGAAGAACTGTTAAACTAGCAAACTCATCTTGTATGTTGAATACTATGAGTGATACTGGAGGATATTACACCAAACGATTATTTCTCATTTTGTTTTAAATTCCAATTTCTTCATTTCATTTGCACCTCATACCAATACTTTTTTAATCAATTGTGTAGCATTTTCTGGAAACAAAAAATTATAAAATTTTAGTCTGGAGATCAGACCTCTTCTAAACTTGAGAGATTTGGAAAACAGTCAAAATACATCTATAAATGTGGACTTACTGACATCTGTTATAAGCATAGGTCTTATAGTAACAAAGGATTTAATGCTTATATAATCACCAAATAAGCAAATAACCTATTGGTACCAAAACTATTCCTTTTAAAATCTGAAACAGCTTTCCAGGAAACTTCTCCATTCAGGAGAATTTAAATTTGTTCAAATATTATTTACGTACAGGTCAAATATTCATAGGAGGTCACATCACAAAACACTTTAGGAAGAAGTAACAAAATTGTTATAGGAACCCAATAATGTAACTACAGAAAGAAGACTTGCACAAAATAACGAATGACTGTAGACATCACAAGATACAAAACTAACTTTTAATGTATGAAGTTATTTTTTCACTTTTGCTTTAAAATTATTACAAAACAGTATTTCATGGCCAAATACTTTTAAATTAACTTCTTTTTTTTTGTTCAATGTTCAAAGTAGAAGTCTGAATTTAATTAAATATTTACAAATTGGAAATAGAGAGAAGAAAATAATACTTATTCCTTCTAATTTATTTATACTTTGCAGGATGGAATGTTATAACAAAAATTTTGGCAAAGGAGATAAATCAGGACATGATTACCACATGCAGCTTCCCATCTTGACCAATACAATAACCGAAATACAGATGTGGTCATTTTAATTATGCTTGAAAATAATGTTGAAGTTTATTTATACAAGTGTTTCTAGAGATAAATACAGCAATGATCTAATAAATATCAGTGAAAACACATTTAAAAAAATAAATACCTTTGAAAATTATAAATTATTTTAAGTTAAAGATGGACAATGCATGGTAGAAGCATGCTGAAGGATTGTTTTACTTAATGTTAGATTTTGGGAAAAAATTCACTGATCTTTCTTTGCATGTCATGTTAAAAGTAATCTTTATGATGTATTCATATATCTTGTACATTTACCACAATTATCAAAACATCTGTACTACATTTGTAATGCTGAGATACAACTAAATACTCAAGACAATCTTCATTTATCAAGAGATACATTTTGAGTGTTTAATCTCACAAATGGATATAACTTTACTAAACAACATTACTCTGTACATACCTTGCCATCATTGGTTATACAAGAGTAGTCACAAACAACAAGTGCTTTCCTTAATGACTTTAGAGTGACAGAAGCTGTAACTTCTTCATCAATATACACTGTTGAAAAGAAAATGATGCAAATTATTATGACTGAACGAGTATAAGTTAAAGAAAAATAAATACATATTTTGTTATTTTTAAAATAAAAACTTATCTGTACAAAATAAAATTCTATATGCCCAAAATATTAACTTCATCTGTTTGTACAGCTGTTCTGGAAATATATTTTCACTGAATTTAACAACACTTTTAAGAAATACAAATCTTAAGACAATAAAATAACCAAATATTTACTGTCTACTTTTCTATAGGGGATATTTTCAATTGCACTCATGGATGATAATCCTAGACTAAATACTACCAATTTTCTTCTATGAAGCTAACTATGAGGAAGATGAAATGTACTTCAAATTAGATGTAACTGTTAATTTTATCAACTAACTAAAGATTATCAACATAAAGAAATTCCATCAATTAAAAGCATAGGGAGGATGTACATGTCTGATAACACTGCACAAGCTATAAAGTAGGACAAACTGAATAAGCATTTCTCAGAAATGAGAAGACTCCCCCCATGTGTTACAGGTCCAAGTTAGAATAAATAAAAAAGTCATAGTATGGACCATTAGTTTTTCACAAACTTTCAAATGAGAAGCTGTAAAATGAGATCAGGGTTATTACTAATATGGATACTGATGCAATAATTATGGAAAATTTTATATTTAGACATACTGATTGAGACTGCATGAAATCATAAAGTTGGGAAGATTTCTTGAAGCAATCCAGGATGAATTTCTATACCAAATGGTCAGAAAGCTATCAGAGAGGTTGTCATATTTTAGATTTATTGTTAACCACTAATTACGATTTGGTTGAAAGAGCTGAACTAAGAGGAAAAATTGGGGGGGGGGGGAAGAGATCATTGCATAATTAGATTTGATGTTTTGTTATGTAATGAGATAAAAAGACATGAAATTTAGTTTCTTATTTTCAGCAAGCTATTTTTGAGACCATGAGACAAGATTTATCATTAGTGAATTGGGATGATGAGTTAAAATGTAATGTGGAACAAATTTAGGAAATTTGTAAAATTAATTGCTTTTAATTAACAGGGAACATCTAACTCCACTGGCTTAGTAAAGACAAAAAGAAGAAAATACTATAATTTAATAAGTTTCAAATGACAGATAAGATAGAAGATTTACATAACTATAGAAAAGCTAGGAATAAAGTTTAAAAACAATTTAGGAAATCAACAAAAAATTATGAAAAACAGCTGTCTGCTAATGTTAAAACAACAAGGAATTTTTAAAATATGTTAAAAGTAAGCAAAGTTTTAAAATGAAGATTGGGCCCTTAAAAGATACTGATGACAATTTTTCCTGGTCTTGGTACTTTTATCTGTTTTAAATCTCTGCTTGTCTACTTACCACCAAGGAATTAACATTCACATAGAATAATATTTCCCATAGAATGCTCCATCCAGGAATATTGCTAATACCTTCTATTGTAAAAACAGAAGATTTGCTTGTTTGTTGTTAAGCAAAAGCTCCACATTGGGTTATCTGTGTTTTGCTTACTGTGAGTATTGAAACATCATTTTTAGCACTGTAAGACCTCAGACTTACTGCTGAGCCACTGTGGGACAGGAGATAAAAACATTTTTTATAGCTCAGCCAGCTCACAGTCTACAATTAAAGTCTTTTTCACCAAGGTTTTGAAGGGGGAGGTGGGAGATAAAAGATCAAAAATGGAAGCCTCTCTCTTTCATTTTTGATAGGTCAGTGATTGGACCTTTGCTTTTTCTTATTTATGTTGATAAAGGCATGTTAATAAAGTAGTATAGTTTGCTGATGACATTAAACTTTTGGATATTTCTAGTTGTGTTGAAGATCATGAGGTACTAAACTAACTTGGAAAGTTGAACAAATGTTTGGCAAATAACCTTAAATTATGGCAAGTGCAAGATAATGTAGTTAGGTTCTCATAATTTTGACCATGTGCCTAATATAGTTTGAAACCTACCCAATAATATAACTGAATAAAAGTACCTTGCATATTGGTGGATATGCCAGCCAAGACATCTAGGCAGTCTCTGTTATTAGCAGTAAAACCAACAGAATTTCAGGGTTTGTATTTGTATACAATTTAAGAGAGGCAACTGTGATGGTCAATGAAAGACTGTTAATACTAATATGTTGTATATTTCACAAATCGCTGCTATCCTGCAATGATATCAATATTCTTAACAGATGCAGAGGAATGGTTATCAGGAGATAATTTTCAATAATTCAAACTCAGTCATATGAAATTTATTTTCAACAATCAAAAATTAGTTTCTATCATCTTGAACAAGACAAAAAGAAGTACAACATGATAACAATTTAAGATATACAGCAGTTAAAAAGAAATATGAAAAAAATGCACGAATTCTGAATAATGAAAACACAACGGCAAAAGTTTTGAGGGCACATTTTGTATAACCTTAATATTAATATTACAGGTATCATACAATAAAAATTAAACTACAAATCAAAATAATACAAAGATAGTTATTTTATTACTTTGCTCATTAACTTGAGGGCTTTTTTACCTTTCACATTCCTAAAAGAAAAAAATAAGGTTATAATTTGTTTAATAAAGCATATTATCTTGTTTCTTATAAATGAGAGCATTTCCTATTTATATGATGACTTACTCATACTTAATTTAAATCTTAAAATAATGAACAATTATTTTACATGGATTAGGAAACTCCAGTGTCTGTTTTACCACAACACAGCCAAATCCTGGCAGTTTGGTACCCATCACAGCTGATATTAACCTGCAAAAATGGTAATAAAATACATACATTTTAAGCATATGGTTTTATATTGATAGACTGAACTACTTTTTAAGCCTGTAATTATAAACAAAGTCATTAATTAATGCTACTTAGTACATTTTTTAATACTCATGTTCCTAATTGGAAGAAACTTTGCAAAACATGCCCACAAACTTGAAAGTTTCACAATAAAAAAGAAGCCAGAAATGAATTAAAGAACAAATACACTTAACACCCAGCTTATGAGTCAATGAGTCTGAATTTTGGGGGTTTGCATGTTACATAAGGGCATCATTGTTTCTAATATACAAGTTAAAACAAAAATGTACTTTAATAAATGGCTTGATAATTTAACCTAAAAAAACACACTTAACTACCAAAAGAACACACCTCTCATTAGTGTTTGGCCACAGAGGTGCAGTGTTCATAGGGTTGGCTGGACTATATGCTGTTCTTCAACAAAAAATTCTAAACTTGTAAAAATCTCAGTCAATAATGAGTATGTATTAAGCACAATTTTTAGTGGTTGTATGAATCCTATGTTAGTCCATGATTAAATCTGTGACCACTAAAGCTTGAAGAGCACTTAACAGTTTAGAGCTAGCCAATTAATTCAATTAATAAATATAATCAATTACCTATAGGCATCTATTGCATGTATAATTGATTAATTGAAACTATGATTAAATCAGTCAATGTCATAAAAATAATCAACTAACTGAAAACAGTCTTTCCAATTATTCAAGTAATCGAAATATTGTCATTAGGATTTCTCATTATCATTTTTTGTTCAAGTTTGTTAAGTTTAATCAATTATTGTAAGAACTCGAACGTAATCAACTAATCAAAATGTATGTTTCCAATTATTACTATTTTTGATTATTCCACCAATCCAAACCTCATAATAATCAATTAGTTGAATTAAATTGATTAATAAGCTTGACAATTAACAATTATCAAATTTTACTTAACACCCAGCTCTAAAAAGGACATACAGTTTTTCTCATATCGTCATAATTTCTTTAACTTTTGAGATGAAACAAACTGAAGATTAAATCTTGAAAGACTAGCTTTCATATGTTAGTAATTAATCTTTTTTATGAAAATAATGAATATTAATAATTATGGGGGCTGCAATGTAGTTGTTTACATCTTAAAATAGCACAAATGTATAATTATATGCAGCTAATTACAGCAGTGTCATAGGCATTTAAAAATTGGTATGTGCAAATAGTACAATTAGAATCTCAACTAATAATATCATGTAACCTCACACAATAATATAATACTATTTATCAGTATTTGAAAACAAAAATATATTTAGATGAACAATGCTTAAGCATATACTGGGCATGCCTGATTTTATTTACTGGTGGGTCCACCATGTTCTCCTCATTAACATGGACAAGTAGTTCCAGAAATGGAAACATTTAAATAGTACAAGATCACTCGCAAAATGAAGCTGACTAATGGACTATATACATACACGAATGGTCACTGGTCACAATACGGTGGACAGAAAGCATGATGAGCTGTTTGCACACTTCTGGTGGATTGTGTTGACCCTAACATTACATTATCAGACTGGTTGCTAAATGTGACAATGATTGATAGTGAATCACCACAACCTCACCAAAATACCTAAAATGTCAATATAAATTAATTCATAAAAAACAATTCATTCTAACAACAGTTTTACACATGAGTAGCATATTTTCATATCATAATCTCTTTCTAAGTACATTAGTTTTATCAGCATAATAAAATATGGAAAAACATTTGAATCCCTGACCTTCATCACTTCTAGTTCGTTTCAATGAAAACCAAATCAGTTTTAAGTGTAACTTCACATCAAGTCATATAAAACAAAATATTTTTGTAACCTTTTTTCAACAGTGTTTCCAGCAAACTACTCTTTCTTCTAATGAAAAAACTGATAGTGGATGAAAATGTCAAATGGCCTTCTAATATCTTTTTCTTTTTATAATCAAAGCAGTCCTTCTCTCACAACATGTACTTCATACAAAATAAACAATAGTTAATTACATGTACCTTTTTACAAATTTTTCCTAATATTTTGAGTAATAATGTTAATAAAGATAACTTGAAATCTTAAAGTAACAAGTGCAGACTTAACAGTAAGCATGAACATGTAGTTTCAGAATTGTTCCTATGCAGAATCATAACTGTATGAAGTAAACTGTGCAGTGTTAGATTGTAAAATAGTCTGCTTGATGAGATTGTGTGTAAATACACTGGATAGCTTTGAAATAAGATAATGTTTATTTCCATTATTTCAGAACAGAACTGCCTGCTTTTACCTAGCTTGTTCATTAAATCTTCTACAGAGCAAGTTCTAAAGCCACAAGTATCTCACATGCAATTTTACCTAATTTTGTAATCATAAAAAACTCAGATTAGTTAAGAAACAGGCTAACTAAGGCTTTTGTTTAACTTTAAGTCTTTGTTAGGACAGATTTTATTTCAGCCTAATTTCAATTAATGATTTTTGGAAATTGTCTTAGAAAAGAGATTTGCTTAGTTCTTCTTGATGAGAAATATCTGATGTACAATTCTGAATATACATGCACACAAATATCATATAATTTGGATGGGAATAACCTTAATAGTTATGAAGGAAAGGGATCTTGGAGTAATAGTCAATCAGTCTCTAAAGCCACCCAAGCAGTGTGCTGTTGCTAGTGGTACATCAAATAGGATTTTAGGTTGTATCTATGGAAATATTGAATACAAGTCTAAAGAGGTTATACTTTCATTGTAGAGGTCACTGGTTAGGCCACATTTGAAATATTGTGTTTAGTCTTGGGCACCTTACTTTAAGAAGGACATTGAAATGTTGGAAAGGGTTCAGAAAAGGGTTACTAGAATGATGCCTGGGATGAACGGGCTGTCATACGAGGAGAGGCTGAAATCTCTCAAATTGTTTTCTCTTGAAAAAAGAAGAGTTGGGGGGGGGGGAGTCGTGATTGAGGTGTTTAAGATTGTAAAGGGAATTGATAGTGTTAATGTATCATTTTTTTTTATATTTTAACAATGAGAATAGTATGACTAGGGGACACAAATATAAATTTTGGCAAGGTAGGAGTCAACTTCACCT